TAAAGTAAACATTTCTTAATGTTAATAACTTAATAATGTTAATAAATGGATTATAAATAATAAATAAAAAGTGATAATAATTTTAATGTTTATAATACATAACAATGGTAAAGCTAACAATATATAACAATAGCAATATTAACCCTTTGACTGTGGCAAGTCACGATCGTGGCTTTTCTATTGAAGTGTGGTGAGCCACGATGGCTTTTAAAACTCATCTTTAAAAAAATGACCTTTATTGCAAAAAATTATTGCTTTTCTAAATATCATTCATTATTTATACAATGAGGGTTTGCTTAATATTTGGGAGAACATGCAAGGAGTGTGGATACATTGAATGACTAAAAAAAGAGAACATGCTACTACAGCGGGAGTGCTGCTACATCAACTAAGGGTGTAGTTTGGGCAGACAATCTAATATTAAAAAAATTTTAACTTCTGTTTTTTTATATTACCATTTTAAAAAACATAATGTTGACATTTTATGGTAAAAAAGTTAATTATAAATGATCCCAAAAGGTTTAAAAACTGATATATTGCATGCTCAAACCAAAACTCTTAGTCGATGTAGCGTTACTTCTTGCATGTTATCCTTATTTAAGTCTGTCGATTTAAGTACATTCCCTGCATGTTCTCCGTTTAAGTCAGTTAATGTATGTACATTCCCGGCATGTTCTCCATCTAAGTCAGTCAATGTATGTACATTTTCTGCATGTTCTCTATTTAAGTCAGTCAGTGTATGTACATTCCTTGCATTTTCTCTATTTAAGTCAGTCAATGTATGTACATTAGGGTAATGTATTTTTTAACTTTTATCACAGTTAAAACCATATTAATTGTTTTAGGAGACAATTACTAAAAATGCGCTTGCATACTCTTTAACAATGTGTTACCTGACTAAGTGTGTTAGTTCCTAATCTTTAACAGAGTGTTATCTACCTGTTAAGTTCTATTTTTTCTGTATAAATTGTGCATTATTTAAAGTTCCAAAGTAATTTAAACAGCTTAGCAAGACTAGATTTCAAAAACACGGGTGCATGGAAAACTAGGAATATGAAACACATCTTAGAAACACTTTTGTTGTTGTTCATGAAGATAATCAATTACTGGTGATGAATTTTAAGAACCAAGTGATATATGGAATCTACCAAAAAACGAGCTGCATGACAGTTACTGGGCTAATAAATTTCTAAATCTCCTAACTTATCAGAGTTGATGTTAAAATAAAAGGCAAGATATTCCAGAAGATGCTTCAGCCCTTAAAAAAGTTGTGCTATGTAGAGAAAACTCTATAAAACTTCAAGATACTAACTGTATATACCTGAACCAAATGTGATTGAGTTCTCAGAAAACCTTTTAAATCTATTTTAGCATCAGGAGCAGAAATTAATTGTAAAAATTTCTCCAATCACATCTTAAAGTTAGAATAAAGTGTATTATTTGGGCCTTTGCTTTTAATCGCAGTAATTGCTTTTTACAAATAGTTAATGTATAATTTGTAAATATCAACATATTAATTACCATAAGATGTTACATTAACCCAAAGCATTGGTTTCCTTAAAATTCTTGTTAAAATAATGATTTTTCCTACTAATCTGCCTGTATTTGTAGCAGTGTCAGTACAAACTGTAAAAACAAAAAGCGGATACTTCAAAATACGTCAACAGATTTTGTATTTTATAAAAGCAGATCAAGTTCTTTTTCAGTGTTACATTGCACAAATCTTAGAAAATCTAAAAAACAGCAATTCTGTCATAAGTAATTTTCTGTTTCAATTTTTCAACGTCAACAGATTTTGATGTTGAAAAATGGAACTTTCACAGCAACAGTTAAGAATATTTTGCTGGCTTATGCAACTTCATAGTTGTTAAATATATTGTCATTTGTCACTTTATTACCTATACCTCTAAGGTATCAAACAAATATTTTCAAGTGCTCATACAACTCTTTTAGGAAAACATCATAACACACTTGTAAGTGCTGGTATTAGCAGAGTGTTTTAATTTACAACCCCTTTATTTTGCTGGGGGTAAAAAAACTAAATGTTCAATAACTTTCGAACACCAAAAGATAATAAAATGAAATTAAAAACATGATGATGAATTCAGAATTAGATAGTAAATTAAAATATTTTCGTAACTCATTGCCTTCGTGTTAAGGCCAGGGGGTGAATATGTTCATTATCTTTAAGTGTAAGATAAAAATAAAACATATATTCTTCCAAAAAAAGTTATTGACCTTTTATACTAGAAAAAGTAGACATAAACACAAACAACAACGAAAATGATGATATTCCAGATGATGACATTGATATATATCAATTTAATAAAAACTTTAATATATAATTTTTTTTATAAGATTATACATTAATGACCAGAAACTTTTGGTGATGGAAAAAATACATTAATGATTACCAGAAACTTTTGGTGAAGGAAAAACACATTTAGAGCCAAAAAAAGTGTTAAAAAAGCTCTTGATTAAACTGCAGACAATATCAAGACTGACAAATTTTATACTTGTTTTAATATGATTGAAAAAAAAAGCCTTGTTTCTCAGGAAACAACTATTTGAAACAAGTTAAAAAAATTAAATCAAAAACAACTGACAATCAAACTTATTTAAAGCTGTCTCCATCATTCTTTTGAGAAAAGAATCATGGAAACAGCTTTAAATAAGTAAAAATTCAGATTAGCAATGAACAATTTAAATGCTCAACAATTCTTTTAATTTTACAAGGAAAAATTTGTTAATTAGCTCTATTTTTTTTATAGAGTTTTAATAAGTTTTTTTGCACCTCACATCAATTTTAGTGAGTGATTTATAAAGATTATTATGTAACCCTTACAAATTTAACTGATATCGAAAAAAACAAAATATTTCCCAATTTTTTCTTTTTACAAAGAAAAAATTGGGAAAATTGCTTAAAGACTGAAGAAATAAATAAATCTTATCAAAAAATTCCTTTAAAAAAAAAACAAAAAATTACATGAAATATCAAAACTCTCTGAGAAAGAATTGTAAAAATCTAATTGTAAAAATCAAACATGATAAAAAAATTTTACAAATTAAATCAGAACTAGCAATATATAGAAATACTGTTTACATAACCTTTAAGTACTTTTTACAATGATTAAGAATACAAAACTCTGCTTAATACATCAAAGGTATTAATAAGTCAAATTCATCATTAACACATTAAAGGTATTATTAAGTTAAATTCATTGTTAATAGGATTGCTTTCTAATTAACAGCTAAGTTTGAATTAGACATATTTATATGAGATAATGAAAAAATTATAGAAACTGATCTTATTTATGTTACTTTTATCTGCAATGAAAATTGCCCTTTTAAGTATATAATATTATAATTTTTATCTATACATCTGTTATTTTATCAATACTATGTCTTAATATTTCTGATTTAAAATTTTATAACATCATAACATTTAAATAAACATTCTCTAACTTTTCTGAGTAAAAATTTTATTTGAGGTTTATAATGGCTGTTGGTAGTAACTAGAAATAATAAACAAACGCAGTTAAAACAAAATTTAATTTCCATGAACTTATTTACTTTTTTTTTTTTTTTTTAAAGAAATTAAAATAAACAAACAATAAAGTCACATATAATTTGACAAAATTATATTTGACACAAATTGAAAATGACAAATGACAAAATTATATTTGGTACAAATTGAAAATTATATTTAGCACAAATTGGCACAAAATCCTTTCCATTTAAGAACTTCAATCAAATATATAGTAATATTAATAACAATAATAATAATAATGCTGATAGTTTAGTATGTTTACAGAATTACAGAAGCTTTTTTAGAATTTTTTTTTTGGCTCTAAATGTATTTGTTCCATCACCAAAAGTTTCAAAATTCAAAAACAGTTTAAATATTTTTTGCATAAACATAGTAGTAAAATTTGAGTATAAATCTAACGAATTTTTTCACTCTTTTGCAAGATAGTTTAACATTTGAGTATAAATCTAATGAATTTTCTTCACAACTTAAAAGGATAACACAAATTTTATTTTTAATTAGTGCAATGAATGGAGAATGCAACTAATTATAGAAAAATGTAAAATTATGGATCTTACTAAAAGAAAAAAGTTTAACAAAAATATCAAAAAATATTATATTTCTGATTATCAATTGAGTACTGTAGAATGTGAAAACAACCTTGGAGTCGTTAAAAAACGATCTGAAATATGATTATCATACATATGTATATCTTTTTTTTTTTTAATTCATCTCTCCAAGGCCGAGAAGGCCACTACAGACAAGGAGGCTACTTAGTTGCGGTTATAACCCTCTTAACTTTATATGTTTCATTTCGTTATGTTTCATCTTAATATGCATCTTCTATTTGGAATGTATTTTTAAAAAAAGATAAAAATCTTATTGAATAAGTACAACATTGAGAAACAAGACTCCTCAGAACATCTTTATGAGGAAAGATTAAAAAGACCTTAACAACCTTATCCATGAGAAGAGAAGTGAAGTGACTTAATTATCTTTTTCAAATGTGTTAATAAATTCCATCAGCTTAACATGGTATCATCCTTAAGGAGCTTTTGTTGACCAACAGAATCAGCTGAAAGTGTCTGTTAATATATTTACAATCAAAGATATATTTCCGAGAACAGTAGACACTTAATTAGAAGAAACTGTTTTGTCAACCACGTCCCGTACCAATACCATATCATTCCATTTTGGAACAATTTGCCATTTGATGCCAAACTTTAAAAAAAAAATTGATGAACTTTATTTATGACTAAATATTTTAAATTGCAATTACTAAACTCGCTGCTAAAGTGATTTATTACTTAGTGGGCAAATCCTCACTGCAGCAGATAAATAAATAAACTCTACTGCAAGATAGCTTAACAGCAATGGGATTATTGCAAAATAATTTAACAGCAATGGGATTATGAGTAATTATGAAATTAAAAAAAAAAAAAGTTGATAACTACTAGAAATCAAGAATTACCTTGAATTTTTTGTTGCTTGAGTTTCTTCCTAAAATAATTACTACAAAGATTTAATATGAATAATAACTTAAAAATTATTTGAGTTAATTCCTAAAATAATAATTTTGCAACATTTAAATAATAATAAATTATTTGTTAATTAATCAAAAAATTTCATCATTCTGATAACAAGGATTTGTGAATCACATCGCATAGAAAGACTGATGCAAATGTTTAGAGTGATATGTATTAAATAATTTGAGAAAAAATTTTATTGTCAAAATATTGGATAAAATGTTTTAACATATATGATGAAATAAAAATATTTGCAAGTAAATTAAACTTATTAAATTTAAGTTTAAAAAACTAAACTGACAGTTTTTTTTAGACAATATATATGTTAATGAAAAAAAAGTAGCTTTTTAGCTTTGTTTTTAGCTTTTTAGCTTTGTTTTTAGCTTTAAGTGAACAAAATAATTTTGATAACTGTTTTATTGTACTCTTGTACTTTGGATGGAAAGGATGCAACTTAGCAGAATGACAGTGGGACATAAGCATAATGCAATGTTCTAGAATATTAGTGCTACTAATTTAGTGATTTATTATTTCAGAAAATAATTCCAAAAAATTTTTATTATGTAATATAGTTTGGCTTAACCAGGATAAAATAACCCTGGTTAAAAAAAGAAAATTATTTATATCAACCCTTTAGATTCTGGTCATCTTATTTCATAAATTTGCAAATTATGTCAAATAATTGACAAGCTATTAATTAATTATTATTTAAATGAACTACTATATAGGGAAAAAAAGAAAAAAGAAAAATTTTAAAAACAAATTAAAAAATTTTTATAACCACTTTTTCTTGAAAACAACGTTTTTCTTTAATGTATATTTTTTCTTGTAAACATAGTTTTTGGTCAAGAACTTGCTGCTAAAAATAATGTGAGGTGAATAATAAGTGATTGTGAGAAAATTAATTATTTTAAAATTTTTTTAAAATACACAGATATACAAAAAGTAGAAAATATTATAATAACCAAAATGCAAAAAAATATTTACATATTAATTTTGTATTCAAAAATAATTATTCCTTTGATGGTTGAAAAATGCGTCTTGTCTAAAAGTTAACTAATGAGTGAACTTTTAGACAAAACAAAATAGTTCATTGGGAATACCTCAAATTATGTATGTTATAAAAAAAATATGGATGCATTAAAAAAAAAAGTAGATGAAATGTTATTAATGCAAACATATTAAAACAGTTAAATTAAAAGTTAAAATTACAGTCTTGAAAGATTGAATAAAAAGTTCTACGATTTCTTAATAAAATTTTTAACTGTGTGCTTTAAAAAAAAAAAAAAGTTAAAATTAAATATGTTGAACATTATACTATTTAAATTCTTTTTTTAATTATATTTGATTTAGTATTATAAATAAATAAATATTATATTTTGGGTATAATTTTTAAAATATCCTTCACACTATTTAAATAATTTAACAATTTGGTATATTTAAATCACATGGTGCTTGTTGCTATGTAATCTATAATACGTTACTTTGAAAAAATAATTTAACACAACTTCAACAATTAGTAACCAAAAATTTATGTAATAGTCACATGACTTATTTTAGCTCTATTTATTAGATAAAATATTTTTTAAATTGAGCTAATCTAGTGTTAATAATACTTTATGTACACTATTTTTACTTTTTTAAGAAAATTTTCTTTTTATAATTTTTTGAAAAAAATATTACCATCGAATTCACTTAAAACAAAAAATTTTATTTTGCTGAAAACAAAAACATTCTATAATGCAAATTAAATAGTGTTAATAAACATTAAATTAAAAATAAAACTTATTTTTGTCAAAAAATTCTAAAAACAATTTTCTTTACAACTATCACAATTATTGTGTTTTATAACTTTGAAAAAATATTTTAGCTTTTAAATTTATTTTTGTATAATGACTGTTATTACAGTCAAAATAACAATATTATTTTAACCTTAATAGAAACCAGTACTTTCCATTACCTAATTTACCTGCAAATATTTTAGGCATTTCATTTAAACAGCATTTTTCATTTTAACAACGACATTAAAATGTAATTATTAATTCACTGATTTAATGAAAAAATAGTTTATTTATTTTTCATAAAATTAAAATGAGTTGTTCCTTTGGGCAACTCATTTACATTGAAACAATATTGTTAGCTGGCCCTTAAGAAAATCAGTCTGGTTCCATTGGGCCATTGGGTATATATGTATATGTATATATATATATATATATATATATATATATATATATATATATATATATATATATATATATATATATATATATATATATATATATATATATATATATATATATATATATATATATATAATATATAATATATAATATATATCATATATATAATATATATAATATATATAATATGTATAATATATATAAATATATATATATGTAAATATATACATATACATATATATATACATATAAATATATATATATATATATATATATATATATATATATATATATATATATATGATATATATATATATATATATATATATATATATATATATATATATATATATATATATATATATATAATGTAAAGTCCAGTTATATATATATATATATATATATATATATATATATATATATATATATATATATATATATATATATATATATATATATATATATATATATATGATCATTTCTATACATACTCCTAGTTCATTATTATTTCTATACCTGATTTTTATTAATATTGATTATGGTGCATTACATTGCACAAACAAGATATAAAACTGGTACAGATATATTATTTTACGGATAAGAGTTTGTATTTATTACAACAGAAATAAATAAATAGTTTTAAAGAAATAACATAGTAATTTAGTCTTTATTAGAATATATCCCATAAAAATATATTCTATATATTTTTAATAAAAAAAATTTTGCTAAATAATTTAAATAAAATCTTATTTTTAGTTTGTTTTTCTAGTTTTTAGTCACAAAGTGAGGTCACATACAAAAAAAATTTTGGCTTCAACTATTTACGAAAAAGCCACGCCTGTCGCTTTTAATGATCTAAGAAGAAGATGAGTTTTAGCAATTAGTTTCTGATTTTTGATAGTCATCATGAGAGAGGCAAATCTAAAATGAAAGTTTCGAATTTTCCACTCAGACGAGAAAATATGTTTGTGTTTTATCTTAAAATATCTTGTCATTTTTTTAAAATACAATAACAAGTACAAAAATTCAAAACAAAACAGCTTAAGCAAAAAAGAATTGCAATTAATTGAAAAGTTTTCTTATATTACACACAATCCTTTATAAAACGTTATATAAGAAGATTTTTTACATTTGCATATAACATATGTGTTTATATATAAACGCAACTTTATTCCTATGCAATAAAGCTGCACTTATTTAGAGAAACTGCTTGGAAAGTGTTGATTAATTGCAATTGGTATTAAAGGGATCCCCAACTGCTGAGACAAGTTGTATTCATATTAAAGAAAATCTTTAAAAAAAATATTTGGGCTAAGTTTTTTTAATTGAAACTAAATAATGAATGCATACCAACAAAATTAAAAATATTGTTTCAGTTGAAGCTTGCCTTTTCCATTTTTGTTGGTTTTTGGAGTCTGTATAATGTTAGCCGAAATCTGCAGACTTGATAATTTATTACATGCTTGTTTAATTCATAACAGTTTTGGTATATGATGTCATCGCAATATCTTTTCAAGATATCTTTTCGAGCATTTTTTGTTGTTATTTTTTTAAAGATTTAAGAATTTTTTCTACTACAATCAGAAACAGTCCTATGTCTAGCCTAGGCAGCTGCTGCAGCGTTAGAGTGTTTGGAGAGGCTACCCAGCAAGAAACCAATTTTTTTAACTTGTTAAAAAAAAAACTTTTTTTCAATGATTTATAAAAACTAAAACAAAGTTACAGTTATCTCTTTATTATCAATTTTTAAATACCTTAAATCTATTTAAAAAACAAAACTACTAATTTTCTTGTATAAAGAGTGGTTGGAAAAAGAAAATTTGTCTGCTGCATTGTTTACACCAGGCAAAAATTTTGCAATAAGCATGTAAATTTTTTTACATTGTGTATAAAGATGTTTAGTAAAAGGTTTCTATTAGCATTTAAATAAATATAATATTTTATTAATAATTCTTCTTTTTAAAGAAAAGTGATTCAAATAATTAATCAATCAAATAAATGAAAATATTAGTGAAAAATCATCTCAACTTTCAGAATACAAAAAAACAAGCTAGAAGCGATCAAGTAGAAGTTTGAAGTGATCAATAAACAACATGGATGAGCCTGGCAAGAGAAAGTCTGGTGGCGAAAGAAAGAACGAAGCAAATTAAAAATGAATCGCAAATCTAAATGTTGTTGCGTCCTTGCCAAAGTTGATTACATTTTTTGCAAAAAAACAAAAAAAACAGATGCATCATCACAAGAGGCAGTGGATTCTTGCACATGTAGCTGCAATCCTCTGGATTTGTTGATTTGTAAAAAAAAAGAGTTCTTTTTTTTTGAAAACTAGTAAATGGAGAAAAAGAAAGAATGTAATTTGCTGGTATATTCTGCAAAGAGTGGTAGTGCACTACAACACCAAAAGAAGCAAGTTGTTTGCAGTAAACACTGCAAACTGCAGTGTTTACTGCAAACCTTGCTTCTTTTTTGGGAATACTAGGAGTTCTTTTGCAAGCGAAGATAGATTTTGCAACTGGAAAGTTGCTCATAAGGCAATCATTAAGCATGAGCAATCTGCTGAACAAAATAATTCAATCTTTTTCATTGTTAATTAAAGTGAATGCAGTTCCAGGATTGATTGTGATTTTGTTAAACAGTTTCAGAGTGAAAAGGAATATTGTAAAAATGTTTTGCATTGGGTTGTATCTGTTACCAAAATTCTTTTTTCCAGGTTAAGTTCCCACTTCAATTGAATGTGTTTAAGACTTAAGTGGGAGGGGAAAGGTTGGAGAGGCCACAACTAGTATTTCGCTGAGGGGCCAGGATGAACTAAAGATAAGCTTTATCAAAAAATCAAATATTTGTATAACTTTTTACTAAACCACAAAAAATATTTGTGATTTAGTAAAAAATTATGCAAATATGTATATATATATATATATATATATATATATATATATATATATATATATATATATATATATATATATATATATTATATATATATATATGTTTATATTTATAATTTTTTTTTACTTGCTTTATTATTACTTTGTTTTAGAAGCCAGCCAAAATCATGACACAATTATACATATTTTGTGATAATTAGAGTTCGCAGACAGAGAAAAAATAAAAGCAGTATGATGCGGTTTCTTGTTTTATATTTAGCTCATATGGTTCAATAGAGTTGTTCGTTTTACGTTTAATTTACATTTAGTTATGGTTTAACTCTTTCACTACCGCAAGCCTCTGGTAGCTGCTTTCCAGTATGCTTTGCAATTTATCTTGTTTTGTACATAAATTTCCATTCTAGACACATAGAATTTATTTTTTCTAAAGGTTAAATTAATTCTCTACATAATCAAGAAAAAAAAAGAGCTATATTGTGTAATTATAAAAAAGTTATCACAAAATTAAAAAATCTTGAATAATTCTTCATAAAAAAACTTTTTTAAATTTAGTTATAAAATAACGTTGTAAAACTTAACTTGTAAGAAGTGTTAAATATTTAGTTAAGTAATTACCAAAGTATTTTGAAGAAAAAATATTCTTTTTATTCATTAAATGGGTTTTGTTTCGAACTTAATGTTTGAGTTACTACTTATAAAAACAATGATTTTGAGCACTTTGCATTTCTTATTATTTAATGATGCGTGTTAAAAACTTTGTTATCAAATTTAAATTATTTGTCAATATTATG